TACTGACAGGGACAGGCAGAGAAGGGCAAACACTGGTGGTTGAAGAGGGGATCCCTACAAAAAGGGGGTGGAGAGGGGACAGAGAATGGCAGAGAAGAGCAGAAGAGCAATAAACATTGAAGAAGGGCAGAGAACTTGAAGGACAAGGTAAGACAAGTCAAGTAGGTCTGACCAGTTCAAAGAACGTGAAGAAGAGCAGAGAAAAAGAGCAAAAGAAGAAGGCAGAAAAGGCTGAAGAAAGGCAGAGACTGGCAATGTCAGGCAGAGAAGGTCAAAGAATAAGAAGGGGGGACAGACCAGAGGGGACAGACAAGGGTGAACAGACCAGGGGGGACAGACCAGGGGAAGGGGCAAAGAAGTGGGATGGTGAAGGGGAGACAGGGTAAAGGCACAGAAGGAGGGACAGGAAAGGGCCAAAGTGTAGATGGCAAAGGGAAGGGGGGGCAATGGGTAAAGAAAAGAGTATAAGGAAGAGGGGATAGGGAAGGGGCAAAAAATGGGGGACAGCAGAAGGGCTATCAAGGAGGGGGCAGGGCAAGCAAAACAAACCTCTGACTCCAGGATTCATTAGAAACCTCTTTTTGTAATTACAGAAAAACACCTCGTTGAAAAAAGACTAGTGAGCATTCATTTCATGATACAGCATTTACTGATCTGGACATGCTGTAAGAAACTACGCAACAAATACACAAGAACATTACTCAGCAGACTAAAGAAATTACATGATGGTTCATAATACTTGCAAAATTAGAAAGATCACTCCTATCTCATCTTCAAATATTACAGAACGTAAAGGTCAGAAAAAGAACTACAAAGATAAACTATTCAAAAGAACAAGTGCCTGAGAGTAAGACTTATCAAACCATTACGGTATGGTTCTGTGAAGGGCTTCAAATCTGAGCAACAGAGATAAAATTCTGATTTAGGCATGAAAGTTAATCAGATGATGACAACAACTATTAATGAAACAATGTAGCTGTAGAAATTAGTTCTGAAATCTGAATGGATTTTTATGTGTGTTGCATGTTTTGAAAAATGGTGGGCAGGAACTATATAGCAAAAATTTTATATTTTGTATTATTTGTGTATTTTACTTTATAGAGCAACAGGGATAACACTGTCAGAACAGCAGTGATCTGTCTTCTTACCTATGAAAAGAACAGATTTTAACATAGCTTTTTATAAGATAAAAACATCCCTTTTCTAATAGTTGCATACTAATTTTTAAAAATGCAATATACACAAACGAAGATGGTAAAACACAGCCTTTCAAATAAATTTTCAGCACCATAATTATCACCCAGATGACTCAAGTCACTTATATGTTATCTAGTTTTTCCTTAAACATCATCACAGTAGATATACGTAAGCAAAAATGACCCTGGCACTGGACTGTTTAGATCTTTACACGGTGTTTCTTCAGTGCTCTC